GTTTTAGTCCTGTGTCATGAAATTTTATGCCACCAAAGTAATCACTGATATTGTTTTTTAATTCCAGTGTCAAAATTACTGATTTAATCATAACTGTAATAATTTTTCGATAGAAACGAGACTTATGACCAACATTATACAGAAGAAAAAATGCATTGTAGAGAAGTAATGACAGATTACTTACAAAAAGCTAGCTTTTTAACCAGATGAATTATTGTTAGAAAATAGGAATTCTGAAACGTCATAGCAATCATGCATACAAAACGTACAGACGGTAATTGTGTATAATATTTTTGAATCGTATGCACTGCGACAAAAAAGGGGGAAGTTCTATATCTTCTTTCTACTGGCCCGATTGACGAAATCCAACTTTCGTTTTTCATGTCTCGAAAGCGCGACATAGGATATATATTAGATTTCTATATAGCCTTGTTCTAATATAGGTATTTTGGCATATAATCGGACTTTTTCTGAAATGAAATGCCAATTTTTTCCCATATTTCAATTCTACGACGCAAATTATACCAAACTGCCAAGTTTTCTAAAAATCGCACGAGTAGTTTTTAAAAAATTTACTCTCAACATTTTAGCTCTTCAATGTTAATCGAATTTCATATAGATTTATTAATATCTCTTTTTTTAATAAACTTACTTGATTCCTTCTTCCAGAATTCAAAATTTAGGTTTAATCCAAATATAATTCGCATATCTTTTATGATTTATTTTTAAAATTTATATTTTTAAATATTTTTTATACATTTTTCGAAAACAAAATTGAATTATGACCTATAAAATTTTTATCATCATCTTAAAGTATATGTATTTCTAAGCATACCTGTTAGAGTTTAGTTTAAAAGTTAGAGTTTCTTAATTCAAAATTTCCTAAGATACGTGAATTTACATTTTGGCACGTTTTGGAATTTGGCGTATTTATTATAGGCGATAATAACGAAAATGTCATTTACGAACTTTGTTAAAAATTATTTGAAAAAATGAACGCTGACTTTTTCCGCTCGTCTACAATTAAAAAAGAAAAAGAAAATACGTTGCTATAAATTAAGAAGTTTGCCTAGTAATTTATTCTTGGCAAAAGCTGGAAAAAATATGCCAAGATAAAATTTTGAATTTCTCCGTACATTTCTCACCAAAACTTTTAGAATTTAATATTTAGGCATAATTTGAGTCGTAGAATCAAAATGGGAAAAAACATTAGCATGTCATTTCAGAAAAAGTCCGATTTTGTGTCAAAATACATACGTTGGAATGATGCTATATATAAATCTAATATATGACCTAAGTCGCGCTTTTGAGACATGAAAAACGCTATTTGAATTTCGTCAGTCGGCACAGTAGTAGTGGGAAATATAGAACTGTGCCCCCTTTTTTTTCTCGCAGTGTACAATTTTTGGCTTATTTTCAGGAAGATGCGCAATAAAATCTACAGAGGGGTATAAAATCATTAAAATCACACATGTAATTAACTTCAATAGCAGAGAAACTGTTGGAAATTCGCAGACTAAAAGTAGTTACTTGTGTATATATTTGCATATGTACGTACTTATATATCTAAGACTTTACACACACACATGTATATATATATATATATACATGTAGGGTACTTGAAAGCTTTAAATAAATAAAACGTAAAGTTCATAAACATAATTTTTCATTCATTATCTGATAGTCTGCATGCCGCCAAATAGTAGCAAACAGAATGAACACCGCCGAACAATTCGTCTTTAAATTTACAATTCCGCCACGAGAGAACCAATACAACTTTTAAAAAAAAATATCAGAGCTTACGCAATTATACTATAAAAGTTTCTATCCCAGTCTTTCTATGACGGCATCCATAACATTCCCAGAATGTTCAGTACAAAATTAGTTATTTATTACCGTCTATTATATAATTCAGATATTCGCAAACATGTCTGCTCTGTTGTACTGATCTCATTTGTACCGATTCCCTTTCCTTGAAGACAGTAAAGTGTGTTTCTTCTTCTAATAATATAACCGTAGAGATCCAAGGACAAGTTAAAACCGTGAAAGATAAAAAACCTTTCGGTTGCCTTTGCTGTTATTTGTGGATATACATATATTGTTAGGAATGAATGGGTCGATTTTCTTACGAAGATGCCACCAAGCGCGAAATTGACATTTTTATCGATATCCCTAAATCCTTTTATAAGAATCTCAATGTAGGTATTGTGGAGTCGTGGGATTAAGAATACACAAGTTGAGATAAACGGAGCTTAACTAAGATACTTTCCCCTTCCATCAAAATGAGATTGTCCCGTAATAATGTTTTTACAATTTATATAATGACTAAACTCCTTATGGGCAATAGAAACTCTAAAAGTTAACTGAGCAAATTTAAATTGGGTCCAGAGATTTCTTGTGATTACAGCGTCGGTGACAAGGAAAATGTTGAACATATGCTTCTTTCGTGTTCTCAATTTGACAGTGAAAGAAAGATCTTAAAACTGGCCCTTAAAAATATTAATATTAACTTGCCTCCAGGTTTTCAGCAGTTTATTTCTGAAAGACGTGCTTGTGACTATTTTTTGTAAAGTCACTGTAATTTATTGTAATGCTTCATAATTTTTTGAAAAGGTTTTTTTTATTGTTTGGGAGGAGTCGGCAGTGGAGTTGTAATCAAGGGGAATGGTACCCTACTATGTACGTGGAAAGGGCACTTAAGGCCTAAGCACTCCGTCTTTCGGTAGTGGTGGCCATTGACAGGCCATAGCAGCCACAGAAGACTATAATGGGGAAAAATATTATATTTTTATAGACAGCCTCTTAGTAATTAATGCGATCCGAAATTCATTCCATCCTGCCCCACACGTAGAGGATATACAATGCATGCTCCGTGAAAATAAGCACCACAAGCATATTCATATATCCTTTAAAGAAGCCCACGCCGGCCACAAGAAATACGGATGAGCTTGCAAAAGAGGCCGCACGCAAAAGAGATGCTCAAATCGCGCCCACCTTATTTCCGAAATCCCATTTCAAAAGAGGTATCCTGACACTGCACTACAACATTGGCAGGATGAATGGGAGGAAATTCTCCAGGGAAGAAGAGCCATGGTCTTTTACAGCAGAGATTCACCCAATGCCTCATTTCAGCTCCACTCATAACCCGATTCGTCACAAGCCACCGTCGTTTTCAGGAATACTTCTGGAAAAGAGGATTTGTTTCCTCTAACCTCTATGTGTGCGGCGAGGCTGGATCCCCAGACCATTACATAACATTTGTCCACTCACAGAGAAGTGGCACATGCGGTTGTCAGACTCTGATGTCCCATTTAAGCAATTCTTTATCAAGCAGGTGGCAATTCTTAAGAAATTTAAAAAAATGATAGGAAAGCTAGAGACATAAGGACCTATGTCACTTTGGATTAGTGTGCTCTTGTGTATTGATTATATATTTGTATTCTCTTTATGTATTCAGTATCTGCATATCTTTGAAATGTCGGGATAAGTATTTAGTATCTATGTGCTATCAAGTACCTGCATTAGTTTCTAATATCAGTGTAGGAAAGTGTAATCTGTATAGCATAATGTCCGCATTAGTACGTAGTAATTGTGTAGTATGAAGAAATGCATTTAGTATTTGCGTTTCTTCGTAATGTCTGCATTTATATTTAGTATATGTGTAACTTAATGTTTATGTAAAAATATGTAAAAAATTGTGTATAATGTATAGTTTAATGTCCGCATAAGCATATGAAGCATCTTAATAAACACCCGATAGCCTGATCATATGAAGCCTTTTGTGGGTGCTGCATTAACACTTAAAGGAACCGGACAATACCCGATTTGTCTAAGTAAGCCACCCGGGTGTCCGGACTCGCTGTTGCATTGTGTTTCATACTTACTTCTGTAAGCCGCATGTGGTACACGAGGAATTAATTGCTTGTGGTACATGAGGAATTGTTTATGTTTTTAATTAAAAAATATAAAATGAATTTTAAACGTGTTATTCAATTTAATTTATTTTTAATTATTACTTTCACTTGTTGCTGCTTTTAGAGCGCAACGGGATTAGATTTTGAACTGGTTTTTACTTTGTGTTTATTCATGTATATATATATACATAATTTATTGCTGTGTGTAGTTGAAAATATTTAATGGAATGCATTGTCTTAAGTTTGAGCAAGTGGATTGATAAACTAAATATGTACGAATTTATAAAAGTTAAATTAAAAATATATAATTAATATAAAACATTAAAAAACTATAACACATGAAAGGAAACTACACTTTTTAAATGTGAAACAAAAGATTAAAGTCATTTACCAGAGTACCAAAACAAACAACAAGTTCCATGCAACTCGGTAAACTTCCTTATGTACAATGGCACCTTAATTTATAAATGGCATATGACTCATTGCGTTAACAGAAACTCTCTTTGAAGGCATGTAATGTTCTGGCAAAAATAGATTAACATTATTTTTGCATATTTCTAACTTTTCTAAAACAAACTGAAATCGTAAAAGCTTCTATATAATAATACATTTCCTTATATACGTTTATCACCTAGTTTAGTTTTTTTATTTATTTATAGGATTTATTTAACTCTTATTTTGAATTATTAAATTTTATAATAATAAGCAATTTTATTGAGGAAAATGCTAAATATTTCATTTTATTTTAAGACTTTTAGAAATCACCCACTAAAATGTCTTATAATGTAGAAAGCTATAACCGTTTGTCTCCTTGATACTAATGAATAGTTTGAACATGAAAATATTTATGAGAAAGAAAAGCAGCTGTTTTCTCTTCTAGCCTTTTACAAGACGTTCTGGCTCATTCATATATATTATTAAAGGTCTTTTTTTTTTAAGAATAATATTGAACACTTCCGTTTTCTTAAATGAATTAAGTGTCCCTTTTTATGCAAAAATGATGCTTCAAAATTTGTATTCTCTCTAAAATAAAACCAAAAAATATTTTCTACATGAAATTTGTTAAAACTGCTTTATGATACTCACCGAATTCCAAGGTACGAACCGTAGCCTCTTCAGACGGTGGACCAGCTCCTCTACTGTTGTAAGCCTGAACAACGATACTGTATTCTGTATAGCGATTTAGGTCTCCAATCTCAAAATGCTGATGCAATCCCTGTCTAAAATCTACAGGTTTAAACGTGTACGGCTCAGGACTTCTTTGCATTTTGTAACCAACATAAAAGCCATCGATACTGTTTGCTTCTTCGGACGGAGTCTGTAGAAAATAAATGTAATACTTTATAACATGCTATAATGAAAACTACATAATATAGATTGCGTAATATAGGAAATTACGCTTGTGAGCTTTACTATATTTAAATAATCCAAATCCGAAGCCTTTCTATAATATACAATAAATATTTTGCATGAGACATGGAAGCATTTAAGTCCCCCGGAGCATGTAATTTTAATAAGCAAAGACATTTCAATAATTTTCCCATTATTATAACTACGCAGACTTAGCGTAAGATAAGATAAGTTATTGGGCATTCCACGTTCAGTCAGACTAAACGACATTACGTGCCCGCTCAATCAGACCCAGGTGTTCAAGCCCTGTCCTCGTACATTAGAGAGGATCGTCAACCGCCGCACCATCAGCCCCTGTCCTCGTTACCTTGGAGAGGATTGACGTCGTCGTCATTTGGCGAAACTGGTCGTCAGTTTGCTACCTACTAGTCATACGGACTTCCTCTCGCCCAAGAACATTACCCAGAAAACTCGTGTCGCCATCCCGGGCGCGTAATGGCAGACCGCACATTGAGTTGAACAGTATTAAACGAATGTCGCATGCCATAACTTACTAAGCCAGCTAAATCATAGACCGAGATATGTGTTTCTGCAGATATTCAGAACTTCCGGAACTACGAATACATTCACAGTTACAAAATATGTAAAATATTGTGAAATATATTTCTTTTAAATGCTTGGAATATTCGGAAAAATATCTAAATTCAAAGAAATAGTAAAATACGTTTCACTTGCAGATTCTTTGTTATTTATTTGATTATATCACCATTAATAACAATGTTCACCCCCCAGAATAAAAAATATATTGTTTATGTACTGAAGTCTTGGTTTGTTTCCCTTGACAAGTCAATTAATCTATCATCAATGACAATAGCTACCTTTTAAATACTTTTAATTTTGGTACTTAAAATGTTTGCATTTCAAAATAATATTTCTATGCAGCTTTTAAATAATTTTTAATGCAACAGAAATCTAAATAACATATTTTCCACTGCAGTGGAATTCTAAATAACTTCAAATGCTGACTAAAATTCATTCCAATAATTCATCGCTTTAAATTTCTGTTCCTTGCAGATGATACAGGAAAAACCTTTTCTAATAATATATTTCTAATTCTACCAGGAATTATTGATAAATAACCCGATGAAAAAATTGATACAGGCATAGATGGAGGAGATGTAAATAATTATTACGAAATAATGTGAAGCAGTGTTTGCATTCAAAATGTAAGATGTTATACTTATGAAATTCTGCACTTTACTTTGGAACTGTACGAATTTTCGCTCAGAAAAAGACTGAAATTTAGGATATATTAGTTGAAAATTTATTCATTACACTTTTAAGGAATAAAAACAATTCAGAATTTACCATACGTTCCATTCGTACATACGTAAAGAAACACGGACATACGTAAAAAATATAGCAAGTGTTTGCAAATAACATTGAAGAAATTTTACAATTCCTTAATGCTGTTTATTTAATTCTTTGAAATAAGAAAATAAAAGCGCGAATATACGTTAACAAACTAAGCGGGAAAATCCAGTTTACATTACTGAGAATTATAACATGTAAACAAATTACATCTAAATAACGAATTATTAAGCACAATATATGGTAACAATTATTAAATGCACTGTTAGACAAATTAAAATGAAACATATATTAGAAAAATAAGCAAGTGCAATCGGTATGAACGTTAAAATAACTAATAAACAAAGTTCCACAACATTGCAGTTGTACACATCACTCGACCACACTCGACAGCCATGGAGATCACGAATAAGCTAGCGTAGGGTTGCTTTTAGTCGCCAATATTTCTTCCCGCGCCAAAGGTACACCATCAAGCATGCGCAGTAAGCGAAATTCGCTTAACACTGTTCAACTCAATGTGCGGTCTGCCATTACGCATCCCGGGCTATTAGAACCTTAAGCTCTAGGACGTGCCAGACCCACGGGCCGACCGATAAGCAATCTTTCTGGGGCCTTTAGAATCACTAGGTTTATTATTTGTATACGCCCATGGAAACTGTCTAGGTACAGATCGAAGGCAGTAGCTTCGCAGAGTTCTCTACCTCGATCCCCGGGGGGGGGGAACTTAGCGTACGTGTACGCTTATCATCGTTTAATATCTTTTGAGGATCTATATCAAAAATTTAATACTTATTGACAATCGCAGCCGTTGCATACAGGAAACAAAGCTGGCCCTGCTTTAGAACTGCTCAATTAAGAAGATATTTTTTGGGTAAGATGGAGCGCATCCCTATCTTGCATGAGATATGGTAGATTTCTTTTAATCGAATGTACGGTAAAATTCGCTAGATAAAAGCAAGTTCATAAAGATTTCTCTTTTCTTCGATTCCTAGATTTAACGATTACGTACATGGCTTCGCAGATATCACAGATTTATGGTTTTAGCTTCAAACAGGCTGTAAAGTAATTAGGATTTTTGAAGTAGGAAACACGCAAAATGAGTAATGCCCTCGCCGGGAATCCAACCTGGACCTCTTGAATACGTTCCGAGTATGCTAACGTTACACCACGAAGGCATGAAACAGGAGGAAGAAAATATTTATATATACACCCTTTTAAAGGGCGACTGGGGATTAGAAGACCCAATAACCAAATCCTGGTGGTGAACAATCATCATCCACCACCTTTTAGTTCGGGCACTACTGTAGAGTCATTAGGTTATTTTAGGCAAGAGATGTGAAAAATGTGCAATGCCCTCGCCGGGTCTCGAACCTGGACCACTCGAATACACGCCGAGTGAGCTACCATTACGAGTGTGCTACCATTACCAGAAAGAAAGGAGAAAGTGCCTTATCTACTTCGCCTTTTAAATGCGACTGGGGATTAGAGGATCTAGTCGCAAAATCCTGGTGGTGAAGAATTATCATCCACCACCTTTTAGTTCGGGCGTCACTGTAGAGATTTTAGCGTTTTTTTTAAAGCAGGATTTGTGAAAAATGCGCAATGCCCTCGCCGGACGCTAACCTGGACCTCTCGAATATGCGCCAAGTGTGCTACCATTACACCACGTAGGCATGCAGAAAGAAGGAAGAATTTATCTCATACTGCTGCCCTTCCGGAGTCACTACAAGATAAGAAACATCTGAAATTCTTACAACTATGCCATGATAGCTGTGATCAATCTATTCCTGGATTACTTTCGCCTCGAGCAAAAATTACCGTGTTCGATCTATTACCAACTTTCTTTCGCGATAGGTGACAGTTATGAAAATATGAACATTTGTTAGATCAGAATTTTGTAAACTTCTGTAAATTTGATTTAATGGGGCAATACGTACGACTTTAAAACTTAATGACATTAATTTTATTATTTGAGGGAAAATGTTCATGACACAAAGTCTTGAAATAGCTTGTACTAGAATGTTGCCAGCAACTAACTGAATTTACGTTTACTCGGATTTACAATACACGGTGTAACCTGCAAATTCGGGGAGAGTAAGATTATAAATTTCTTAGTAATGTAACATAGCAGTATAAAATTTTATCACAGATTTTCCGAAGTTAAACGTGGCATGCAAATTTCAATCGTTAACACCATGTATTCTTTTCTCGAATCTTTGAGTTATCCAGCCTTTAAATTCCATCCCACGTTCATAAAAGCTATTTGGGAAAGCAAAGAGGAAGTACAGGTTGGCTGTTTATGATACCGCTAGTAAACTTCGTTGGGGAATTTAGTGCTTGACAGTTTCGATTGGACCATTTCATCTTTTATTAATTTCAGTAACTCCTTGGAAACTTCAATTTGACACTGTTGCTCATGAGTCCAATGAAAGTGTTTCCAGAAAAATCATGAAACCATATGGAGACTGAAGAGAGAATTTCGAGGTATTTGTTTAAAAGTTAGAAATATTTTCGTAATAACCATGTTTGTTTCAAATCTAATTACATCCTATGTCAATCCTGATATATAGTTGAATTATTAGCCCAACGGGGTGTTAGCCCAGAAGGGTTATTAGTCTCAAAATTACATCTTCCATTGAATCACTAAAAGCGTTGTATCACTTTTCAAACTTTTACTACCAAATTTTATCCCCCTGTATTATATTTGAAGAAATTAAATAATTAAGAATCTGCATGAAAGTATGTTATGTTTCGCACATTGTTAAAAAGCAAGGGTACCTAGAGCCATCAAATTTTGAATAACGCAGTCCTCCACCCGAATACGAGTACCTGGGATCCCCCGAATTTAGAATTTTTTTATTGTCTATTTCGTAGCTTGTAAAATTTTAACGAATTTTTGATTAACAGACTCAACGAATTCAAAGAGAGCAATGGGAACACTGTACGGAAAAAAATAATATTATTTTCAGCGCGCGAAATTCTAAAGACATGCTGATTTTAAAATATATATTAGCCAATATATATATATTATTAGCCAAATATATACCAAATATATATATTAATATATATATATATATGTTTGTAAATTGTGCACTTTTCGCTTTAAAAATGTTTGAATTATGTTCTTCTTAGCTTCTGGTTAAGGTTTTTATGCCTTTAGTAATATGCATGGAATATATTTAGGATAACAACAATTTAAATGTTGTTTAAGTACCGCCAAGCCTAATTAATTTTGCCATGGCGGCTATGTTTGTTTACATATGAAACAGCAGAATAGTAGATTTGTTGCCAATATAGAGAAAGTAAGCTTCGAAATAACAAAGATAGCGCCTTCCTTTATTATTGCGAATTAAATTATGCTTAATCCATTCTGGAATTTATTCGAGGAAATAAGTGTTTAAGATTTACTTCATAATTTTCAATACAGATATTTTGAGTTTTTATGTACTTTTGCCTTGTCGCGAAGTGAAAACTAAATTAATTGAATGAAAAATACTGAATCGTCTGTGAAAACCATTTTTTATTTGTTGTTGTTTGCTCAATTACTTTTATACATCGTTTTAGATGTATTATAGTATTTGAATAGAATATGTGGAA